TGGAAACGATAAACGCTTCCACCAACGAAATAACAACGTGGCGCGTCCAAAGACACAAAGTAAATTATGACGTCGGCAAATCAGCCCAGCCACTTAGTGGTGACCACGCTGTTGCGATGACACTTCAATCGCACTATATAATCCATACCTAGCTAACATCGGAGAAAAATATTGCCTATTCAGAATACAAGTAAAATGCGCGGTTAGTAGAGTCGCAATTGCCGAAACACAGTCTAAAAAAAGTATGCGATAGGAGAATAATCACCACAATCAATATATAAATTGTATTAATTAACGTAACGAAAACTTTTATAAACTATAGGAAAGTTTAAAATATCCTAAAACCATTTAAAAAGCGAAGCAGTTCTTGACGAACCACGCATTTTGCTTTTTAAGTCTTTTTCAATAACTTTATAGAGTTTCCATTTTGTTTAATAGTAGCGTGTTAATGAAAAATGTCCTGTAATATTTCCGGGTAGACGATACCTAAATTAGAAATATCCTAAAACCTATTGAGAAGCGAAGCAGTTCTTGACGAACCACGCATTTTGCTTTTCAATGTTTTTTTCAATACTTTTATAGAGTTTCCATTTTGTTTAATAGCGGCATGTCAATGAAAAATGTCCTGTTATAATATTTGGGGGTAGACGATACTTAAATTAGAAATGCCGTGTGTGTGTTATGCGAAAAATGTATATACGAATTTTCAGTCTACGCTGCTATATAAAGAAATTTACATAAGATTTTAGTACTTAATAGAAATAGTGAAAGAATGAAGTCGACGGTTATAATAATTGCATGATTTGGCCACGAAAATGAAAAAATAAATAAATATATTTGAGTGGAATAGGAGAATCAATTTAGTCTTTTTATTGTCGTTAAGCAATTGTTATCATTGTTACGATATACATTGTCGTTTGCATTGTTGAAGGTTAAATGACGATTTTTACAATAAAAATGGGGATTTTAGGGGGTTGGAAAGGGGTTACGTCGTTGTCGACCAAAAAAATTGGTTGACAAGTGCCAAAAGCGTGTGTATGTGTAAAAAAAACAAAAAATTGACCGTCGGACTGGGACACAGTCCGGTGCATCGTTTGTGTGTTTATATCTATTTTTGGTTTATTTGTGGTCGAAGGGGTTCTTCCAACGGGACGTCCCAGTGGGCCCCAGGGCCGCCGATAAAGCGAAAATCCCAAAGGGGGCCCGTAGGGCGGCTCAAGAACGGGATAAGCCCCGGAGAGCGGCCCTGCTACCAAAGGGGCCTGCAGGGAGGAACCGGAATCCGTATCTTAAATCCGGATGTAATCGACCAACTGCGGGTTCAGCGCAGGGCGCCGGATCCGCCCAACGAGCAGGCAGTTATCCCGTGAAACCCCCCACGGATGTTGCATTATAGATTGTCGGCAACAATCATAAACTTTTCCATTGTTGACGTTCGGCTTTTATTAGTAATTCTGCGCGTTTATTGCTGGTGTTTTACAACTGTGAACTGGCGAGAACTTGGACACGCGTGGGCGACTCCTGGAAGAATTCTTTGCACTTAATGGTTTACTTATTATAAATAATCCATACTCACCACCCACTTTCACCTCGAGCAGAGGTGAAAGCTGGATTGACGTGGCAGTTTGCAATGACAGCTTATACTCCAGGATAACAAACTGGAGAGTTATCAATGATGAGAACTTAAGTGAGCACGCCTATATTGAATATGAATTGACAGACTCAGGCGATGGGGATAGGCCGATATTTGCATCACGTCCAAAGTATGCGCTCAATCAAGCTAACTGGATAGGAATTAAGAACTATTTAGAGGAACACTTAATTGAAACTTACTCAGAGGAGCCAGAGGTAGCTAGGATACAACTAGACAGTAACATCAAGGCCATTACTGAGGCTTGTGAAATTTATATTCCAAAAAAGAGAATAAATAGGAGAAGTGTCCCTTGGTGGACAGCGGATCTGAGCAAACTCCGAAGTATAACCAGAAGACTCAGAAAGCAGTACCAGAGATGTCACGACGATAGCACAAGGAGGAGTCATAGGGAAAATTATCTACAAAGTCAAAGAACATATAAGAAAGCTATAAAAGACACTAAAACAAGAAGTTGGCGAGAGTTTTGCACCAGGGCATCTGTAAACCCGTGGGGCTACATTACACGTATGTGTAGTAATAAGCTGCGGAAGACTCAGATTTTGACATCATCAAGCAATAACAGCGAACCTAAATCTCTTATTGAGACCCTGAATGCCCAACTGCAAATCTACTGCCCAGATGACAACCCTGAAGAAGATACAGAATGGCAAAGAAAANCTCCATTGTTAGAGGAAAAGTATGATGTACAGGGACAAGCTTCTGCTAATTTATACTAATATTATAAAGAGGTAAAGTTTGTAAGTTTGGATGTAGGTGGTAATCTCCGAAACTACTCATCCGATCACCAATATTTAGAATGGACGTTCAGGCTGTATATTATTCCGTTAAACATTCATATAAATTGAAAGATATCATCTAGGTAAGCGTTATATTTATGGCGTCCGAACTTGTGATATATAAATTTACATGTCCTGACTGATTCATCATCGCCCGGAGCAAACCGCTGAACCTAAAGAGGTGAAATTTGCTACACAGTTAGGGTACTTCATGAAAATGCACACTAAGAAGAGATTTTTCGAAATTTACCCGCGGGAGAAGAGGGAAAGGTGCTTAACCTGAAGAACGTCTTCTACTGTACTATTTTAGGTGCGAGTTTTTGTTTTTATAGTAACGACTAATGCGGGTAACAGCTAGTTTCACATATTTTAAATTAAGTACATTTGAAATATAATTAAAAATTGCAGCCTGGCAGTTTACAATATTCACCTACCTCTCTTTAGTCTATAAACGATAAAATTGTTTTGTAGCATATAGTTAAAAATTTTTTTAAACAAAGATCTTAAAATAATTTACCAAGGTACAATCTTTGACATCAATGGCGGTCGCGTAACATTGTTCTTTTATTTTTACACACGATGTACTTCCATTCATCGTCTATAACATTGCGCTATTCAAATTAATTAAGTTATCGTTATTTTTAATCGCTATGTGCTCTGTACATTTCCGTAGACAAAGTAGAAATAAAATTTTAATATAATCTTTATTAACTTGTTTTCTTCTTGCATAAATGTATAACCTTTTTGGAATCTTTATTAATTTTTACTACAATGTATAAAGCAAGGTGATTGGATATTTTTTAATTTAACCTGGAACGGATCACCGGTGTTCTCTGCGCACTTAATGTTCTGTTAATTAATTAACTCGTCTGCCGTGTTATTCTGTAATCCGAGTACGGGCTACCTTGTAATTTCTTTTTTAAGATATTCTTTTAAGTTATACAAAAAAGAATTGCAAAAATCTATTAACGGCGGCCTACATTCTCCCCGGGCTTTATGAGTTTTGAATCTAACTTTTAAAATAGGTGTTGTGCTCTTCGATGGATCCAATACAAATCGTTTCTCTTCCGCATCTATCCACTTTTCTTAATGATTTTTATAATTTCTTTATTTATATTTGTTATTATTTCAGTTGTAGAATCTTCTTTTAGTTCTATAAAATCTTCATTTTTGACCAATTCCAACCGCTGGTTTCTTTCCCATTCGTTTGCAACTAAAAGAAGTTATTCCGCTTTATCCGCTCTAAGAACAATTATATTATTTTGTTGTAGGCTTGGGGACACATTTCCAACTCCTTCCTGTCGACCAACCGTCGAAATTCGAAGTCGAAGGGGAAAAAATTAACAGGAAATATTTTTTGTAATAAATAACAAATTTTGAGACTTAAACATTTGAAATGTATCTAAAATGAAATCGATATAAAGTAGTCCTTGTCTACTTTTTTCTTTCGTATTCAAATTTCCGTTTTTCGCAGGAAATTATTGTCGAAATGGTTGATGGGTGGGAAGTCTAAATGCAACCTGTCAAATCTTTGGCGACTTCTCGCTGATTTCTGGTGTTTACGATTAAAATAATTTCGATTCGTCACTGCGCAAAAGTAATGCGGGAAAAGAATACAGAAAAGTAATTGTACAGCGGGCCCATCCGAAATATACATGGGGTCTTGTCCGATCCGGAAAAGAATTTAAGCAATCCCATATTGGCTATTATTGTAATGACGTTACAGTCGATACGGCAGTGGCGTAGCGTTTGTGTCAGCCGCCCGGGGCGGAGGAAAATTTCGCTGCCCCCTTATTTAGGAATCGTTAAATTACGAAAGAGAAAAATTCAGTTTCGTCACAGAATAAGTAATGAAAAATTCCGTGCTCATTTCAATCGGTCCGAATCGTAGGTGCGACAAAAATATGAAATTAAATGTTTCAAATTTTTACAAGATATTATTATTACTGTATTTATTGTGAAATTTCGTCGCTCTCTAAAAGTGCCGCTCGGGGCAGGCCGCCGCTGCCATTCACATCACGCTACGCCACTGTTTCTCATATATCCGAAGAGGATTTTTATTTTTAACTTCCGTAGGTCGCGTTAAAAAACGAACGAGAATACCGGAGGATTACCCCGAAGAAAAATGTCTTAAGTCAACACAGTAGGTAAGGCCACCAATTAAAATTTGCCCGTGTCCCATGAATCTATAACGCGACACTGTAAAGGTATTAATGTAAGATTCAGTAAATGGCCGAGGAATTAAGGCGGCAGCCTACAGGTTAGGGAACCCGGGATCGAATCCAGAAGGATCAAAAGATCCCAGGAATTTTTCGGTTGCGCTCGTCTTCATCATCTGGCTGAAACCGTAATGGGCTTACTAAAACGACCCTCTTAGTACCCATGGAGCGGAGTATGTAAAAAAGAAAAATAAAATCTAGTGTGTCAAAAATAAAATAATATTTAATAAAAATTAAATTATTTTTTAAAACATATACGTGTAAAAATTTTATTTTTTGAATTATATTTTGTTATACTGTTACGAAAAGTTTTTAAGTGTACAGTAATTAAAATGCAGAGGGCGCTTTATATCAATATGGCTGCGATCAGCTGTAACTTTTGCCCAGCGACGAAACGAGACGATCAGCTGAATTAACGATAACAAATAGTTTTATGTAAGAATGTATACTTTTATCACTAAATAATATTGAAGTATTTACATTAAAAATTTAACGAATATGATATTCCGAGTTAAATTCTCGCCTATGAATAGATTATGTTCTCATCAGACTTTACAGTTTGTCCCACGCCATTCACCTGTTACAGAACACGATGTCGATCGGTTGCAAGAATTTTTAGACGTACACAAACCGATTTTAGTTTTGACTGGTGCGGGAATATCTACAGAAAGTGGAATACCCGACTACAGATCCGAAAATACTGGTTTATATTCTAGAAGTACAAGCAGACCGGTTATCTACAAAGATTTTATGAGTAGTGAAGCTGTTAGAAAACGTTATTGGGCAAGAAATTATGTCGGTTGGCCAAGATTTTCATCCTTTCAACCAAATACTACTCATTTCGTTCTTACTAAATGGAAAAAGAATGGGAGTATACATTGGATAATAACACAGAACGTGGACAGGTTACATCATAAAGCCGGCTCGGAGCACGTAATCGAATTACATGGAACATCCCATCAAGTGAAGTGTACAAATTGTGGACATAGTTTTTCTAGGTTTACCTTTCAGGATGTTTTGAGTTCTTTAAATAATGTTCTGAGTTTTGAGACCGTGGAAGTAAGACCGGATGGCGACGTGGAATTAGATAGTCGACTCGTAAGCGATTTCCAAGTTCCAAATTGTAATAGATGTGGTGGAATTTTAAAACCGAATATAGTTTTCTTTGGTGAAAATGTTCCGATGGATAGAGTTAAATATGCAATGAGTAAACTAGAAGAATCAAAAGCTCTTCTGGTGCTTGGTTCATCATTACAAGTAAGTATAATATGTGTTTTAAATGCAAAATAGATCTGTGTTTTGAATAATTTTGGCCAGAGTTTTCCAACCTTGTCATTAATGATCCACAAAAGATTGATTGATTTATCAGATGGGTTGTTTGTCGGTTGGTAGACTAAGAATAATTTCTGGTATGCTGAAAAATAAATTTAAGAAGAAAAATTTGTGAAGTATATGCTTTATGATGTCAAAATAAAAATATATAAAAATGTTTTTAAGTATAATGACAGCTTAAGAAAATAATAATTCAAATTTTAGTAGTGTACTTATTTGTGGCAGTAAATGTATGTGCACTCCATATGCAGTTGTCATAAATAGTAAGAAAAAACAATTGTTTAATAAATTTGTTTGTATATTCATGAAATTTTTGTATTTAAAAATAATTTCAATACGAATTATGAAGTATTTCCCTTGAGCTGTGCTCTACAACAAACATCTTGATGTATGCTTGGAAACAATATTATGCACAAAAAAAGCAGAGGAAGTAAATTTATTTATACCTTACACACATGTATAATCACTACTTTATGGGCCCTCCTATCGCAGTTTACATGTCAGCAACTTGTCTAGACATTGATGTGATATAGGCATGATAAAAGTCTTAGCCCATTCTTTCTGAAATACCATTTTACATCTTCAGCTGATTTTTTATTTGGATTTGTTTCTACACTTTTATTTTGACAATACTTCATAGGTTCTTGATTAGGTTCAGATCAGGTGAATTTGGGACCCCAAGCAGAAATGGAGTGTGCAGGATGCAGCTTGACAAGATCTTGTTGGAAGACCCCATTTTTTGAAGATGTATGCAGGCCACAGAAGGCAGGAAATGCTGATGCAAAATTGCCTAGTAGGATTGTGCATTGACAACCCATTATACAGAATCAAATTACCAATGCCAGAGTACTCAACTTGCTTCACACAGTTTTTGGCAAGTTCTTCAGCAGGCAGTTTGATAACTTCATCCAATATTTTGTCATAAGACTGGGAATTGAATTTCTATCAAAGGACAGATGGTCACTGACCCATGCAAACTGTTCTACACTGAATTGATATTAACATTGGATTTCATTTACTCTTGTATGAGCTGTTGCTAGTTTGTTGTGGAACAGACACAAATTTCAATCTCAATTCTGCTGCCTCCATAAATATTCCAGATCAGTACTTCATAACAAAGCAACACAAGATTCAGTCTTCCTTGGCAATAGTTATTGGTTGTCTACCATTGCTGTATCTAAGCATGATGGAACCAGTTTCCTCCATAGTGTCTGAGGAATGTTCTGACAGTAGACTCATTTTGAGTGCAAGATGCATGTAAATTTTTATTGCCTGCACATTTGAGCTGAATGATGTTTCCAGGCATATGTTGAGATGCCTGTTACAATGCATGTACCAATTTTTGTCATAGAGCATAACTCAAGTGTTTAGTAAGAAGTTTCCGTACAAGTTACAATTCTTCTATTCTTAAAATTTATAACAATTGTACATGGGGTATGTATGGTAATTAAACAGTTAGAATGCAATTTTTGAATGACTACATTTTGTATATTTTCTTTATTATTAATTTTTCCCTAGTGTTTAAATAGTCCAATCACTTCAATACTGTTTCACATGTCTTCAGGCCACTGAACCTCTCCAACTTCCAGCAAAACATGTAAATTGTATCAACTTATATTTTTGGAATCCACCCGATTCCAGCTTTCAGAAGTCTGTTTTGTTACAGTTTCACATGATATATCTTAAAGAAAAATGCATATTCATTTTAAAGTTTTTCTTGGGAGATGACCTTTTCAACTTTTGTCATTTGTTTAATAGTTAATATTATGAATCCTTCAATACAAGTAGTTGAAATTGGATAATTTTAAATGTTAATATTTTTCATTTGACACACAAATATTTCTATTGTGATTTTTTCCAATTTTAGTAATTGTGGGGATGTGCATGTAAAAAAAAAATTCAATGAATTAGTCTAATAACTGGGATATAAAAACTGCATTTATTTAATAAATAGTTTCTATTAACAATTGTACATTTTTCTAATATTAATTGCGTATGAATCACATCACAAAAATCATCAAAACACTAAAAAATATTTTGTATATATTATACTGTATAGCAATATGTTAATTTTATTAAATAGTAAAAAATTTTAATTTACAATTTTAGTAANCAAAATAAAAAAATTTTTTTACGAGCTAAAACTGTAGGAACCTGATGAAGAGCCCAGAAGGGGTTCGAAAACGTTTGTTTTTGTACTTGTTAATCGATCTGCTCAGGTTACAAAATCTTTTTAAAAGTTTAAATGAACACATATGTTAAATAAAAAAATTTTTTTACAGGTTTATTCTGCTTATCGGTTCCTTCTTGCGGCAAACGAACAGAAGAAACCGGTTGCGATTGTAAATATTGGACCGACTCGTGCCGATAACATTGCACTCTTGAAATTAAATAATCGTTGTACCGATATTCTTTCAAGAATTAAAATCTGACTAAAGACAATTATTTCATTTTATTATCCGTAAAAAATTAATAATGATATATTTTTAATTACAAAATACTTCTATAAAATAATAATTTACAGTATTTAAACAAACTTCTATTTACAGGTACATTAAACTTAACTATTGAATGCCAAGCAAACATATTTCATTTAAAATAGTAAAATGAGTAGATAAATTTGACAAGATATGAAATTTTTTCTTTCTTCCGATATCTTCCTGTCATCCGTGATGAACTTGCATAGGAAAATATTACAGGAAATAATCAGGTTGAGGTTTTTTAGTTGGTATGCCTCTATTTTCCTATATTAAAAAATAATTTAATATATTGTAAATAATATTTTTTTATATAATATATACAATATTACTTTATACAAAATTTTATTACTTGAATATTGTTAGAAAATAAACTCTGATCCATTTTTTTTTTAGTTGAACTGTTAATACAAAGAAGGAAGTGTTCAAGGAATATAAACTTTTAAATAATTGTTCAATTGGAAACAACTGCAAATAACCTGAAATATTGCAACTGAGTTTTTCACTGCAAGATATCATAAGACAATATATCTTGCAGTAAAAAATTTATTATATTGTTATATGATTTATGTATTAAATTTCATTTATTTCAATTAAAATATTATTTAGATTTAGGTAAATAGTGGCATGATTAAAACTAAATACTCTTAATTAAGAAACTGAATAAGTTAAGTTTCCTGACTCTTCTTGAAAACAATTACAAATAAACAGATTCTACTATATTAATCACTTTACAATTCATGCCAATAAAACCAGAATTTTCACTGAAATTAGATTGGCATGTTCAAACAATTAAAAAAAATGTTAGTATTATACTTGAAAATTTATGACTACTGTGAGAACTGATGGTTCTGGTCGACTCACCCCACCTCACTGTCTGAGAGCCTTAATCAATTGCCGAAAGTCGAGAATACACAAATATTTCAACTTTTATCATCAAGATTTCTGACACCAGTTAGGATAAAACTATTCCCCGACCTAACTCGCAAATTAATCCTTTCAAGTGGAAAGGTATAAATAAATTCTACCGGTAATTTAGGAGGGACTAAATTTAATTATCAATGATGTAGGAAAAGGAAGTTCCTTTTTCAATTTTACTTAATTTTAAAAGATAGATAAAATATTTATTAGATTATTTCAATAGAAATGTTAGCAAAATTTGTTAAAAATAATCTCTCAACTCCAGATTCTCACACTATTAATCAATATCTCATCCAGTAGGTAACCAAAGCAAGAAATGCCAATAATTTAAATTATTGCATTGCAAATAAAAATAAATGTTTAAAGCTCCAGTTAATGCATGTTAGCAACTGCACAATCACCATCAGTCTCAAGATTGATAACATGAATAGACAGGCAAAAAATGATAACTGAATTATATTTTATTATGATCAAAATTACAATATAGAAACTTTGCTTAAATTATGTTTTGGAACTTGCTAATTCTGATAAAGATATGGTTGGTAAAGAATATTTGTCAATCAATTAACTAAATGAATTTATAACAATATTCCACTATTTTCACAATTTGTCACTAATTGACACTGACATGCCAAAAAAAAAAATAGGTTAGAAATTACAAAAGTTGCTAGAGTAAGGGTGTAAGGTGTTTTTTGCATGTCCGTGTCAATTATGAACAGTTCCAATATATTTGTTAATTGGCCAATAACACTTATTTAACAAGGCATGTAAAACAATATTTATATATTCATTACAACTTACATAAATTTTAATTAGAAATTAATTCACAATTAAAATAACATTAAGTATGTATCAGATTTAATCAAGGTTCTAAATATGTAATATGAAACACAGTTGAATATACTTGAGAGTGACTTTGGTATTGTTGTGTCATGTTTCTTTACCAAGATCACCTAGGGGTTAATATGTAATTGCTTCTCCTGTGTGTCCAATAAAATATGTTCATTATGATTCTGTAAGAAATCTTTTGACTGTCCACTGTATAAGAAAACTAACCAATGAAATGCTCCCTTATCCAATATTCTCTTAAGTAGACTATATATAATGGAACCTTGTTGCATTGTCACCATTACTTTCATTTTCTTCAAATATATTGTCATATTTATTTGGTCTAGAATTAGTCCCACATACAAATCATAATTTTCCCACTAGCTTCATCAGTCCTCAAATTATTACTTTATTGCACCTATCATTGAAAAATCATATTTCTGAGTGACATTTTCTCACATTGATAGTTTTTAAAATTTGAAATGATAATTTACTAGCTCAGGTAATTAATAACAATCTTGAATAATTTCAAAAAAATTGACATTGCTCATGTGTGCCTGGTATGCCTACTGCATACTGAAAAATCAAACCATCATCTACAGCCTTTACTACACTGTTTGAAATTATCTTACTTTTATCATACTGGTATTTGCTCATAGGTTAAACATACTTCTATCATTTTGGTTTTCTATGAGATTGAGATGTATGTATATTCTTATACAGAGTTATGCAAAAGCTTCTTGGCATCTGAGAATGTACAGATAGATAGTGAAGACAGAAGGTAGAGAAGAATATGGAGAACTTGAAATTGTGATCAACATTCCTCACTACTTCACATATCAAAATGAAATCTTTCTTTTATGTGCACAGCAAATGTGATGGTGATCATGAAAGCATTCTAGTCCTTAAAAAATTTAACTTCAAATTGGTTTGTATTTGTACAAAACAAGTGTCAAAAATTTCTTCAGAAAGAATTAATGTTTCAAATATATTGAAATGTATATTTCAAAGAATAATAATTAAATTGTTTTTATCTACAGTATAATTTTTACTGGTTTCCTAGAAGTATTTTTCCCCCTTTATATGTGCAAGGTGTATGCATGCAATCATTATATATTAAGCATATCTGTTGGAAATTTAAACATAATGAACTCATTTTAGTACAATATATTACCTTACAAATAGCATACTTATAGATAACTTATGAAAATTAATTAAAAAAAATATATATATATATATAAATGGTTTGCTGTATATTAGTTAATATGACGATTTTAGTCTCTGTAATCCAAAAATATTCTTGGTAGACAAATCTCACAGCAATCTTATTGGCAAATTAAATTTATTTTGTAAAGACTACATCAAATGCATTTCGGGCTGGTCTAATATTTTCCAGTCCCTCTTCAGTGCTAAAATAATAACAAAGAACGTAAAATGTTTAACTAAAACACGACATAGATGTATATCTACACCAAAATTATAAATTTTGGAGAAAAACTTACAATAACCGCTGGTGGTAATTACAATGATATTTCCATGGGTAGGGGTGGTAAACTTTGCACACATTTGTAGGAATCCTAAAATTACAATTATCTTTTTTTGTACAAAACAATATAAGGCTAATACAAGTAATATCTTAAACAATACTTATACTTACAAGTTTAAGAAACTTTTCCACACACGTGTATAATAAACATACTAAAACCAACCAATTATTAAAAAATTCTTTGACAAACAATTGTATAGATAATTCCAAAGCACTACAAATTTTTAACATCATTAGCATCAGTATACAATCAACACTTCACAACAGTAATCAAGTGATGACGTCTTAATACATAACCATTTATTTTATTCTAGCGCCATCCAGGCGTGTACTAGAAACTAGAGTTAAAGAACACGAAGCAGCCATTCGGCTTAAGTATAATAATTCTCCGTGGTTTAACCACATCAATAGTAATAATTGTAATATTAATAGAAACAATGTAAAAATTTTACATATTGAAAAAGATATTTATAAAAGAAAATTCAAAGAACATATAGAAATTAGAAAACAAAATAATAATAATTTAATAAATCAGTCGAAAGGGATGGAAATAAATTATAGCTGGTATAATCTGATAGATGGCGCTAGAATAAAATAAATGGTTATGTATTAAGACGTCATCACTTGATTACTGTTGTGAAGTGTTGATGGTATACTGATGCTAATGATGTTAAAAATTTGTAGTGCTTTGGAATTATCTATACAATTGTTTGTCAAAGAATTTTTTAATAATTGGTTGGTTTTAGTATGTTTATTATACACGTGTGTGGAAAAGTTTTTTAAACTTGTAAGTATAAGTATTGTTTAAGATATTATTTGTATTAGCCTTATATTGTTTTGTACAAAAAAAGATAATTGTAATTTTAGGATTCTTACAAATGTGTACAAAGTTTACCACCCCTACCCATGGAAATATCATTGTAATTACCACCAGCGGTTATTGTAAGTTTTTCTCCAAAATTTATAATTTTGGTGTAGATATACATCTATGTCGTGTTTTAGTTAAACATTTTACGTTCTTTGTTATTATTTTAGCACTGAAGAGGGACTGGAAAATATTAGACCAGCCCGAAATGCATTTGATGTAGTCTTTACAAAATAAATTTAATTTGCCAATAAGATTGCTGTGAGATTTGTCTACCAAGAATATTTTTGGATTACAGAGACTAAAATCGTCATATTAAAAATTAATTAAATTAAAAGTTTATCCTTTGATCAGTAAGACTTTTATAATTTTTTTATATAAAAATTACAGAATAAGTATAGAATGATTTCTACTTTTAATATATATAGAAATGCATATACCTGTGGGGCAGCTTCAAATATAGTAAATTTCTTCTGGAGATGTTCATCCAATTCCAGAATAGCAGCAACATTACCACATCTATTAATGATTTATATTGTTTACAATTTAGTATAAAAGTATTATTAATTATTTCCAAATTAAATATTTTTGGACAAAATTTTATTTTAGTTAATAAGTTTTTTTAAGTTCTTACTATCAACAATTTAATTTTTATTAGTTTACTGATATACCATAATAAAGTGATACACAAAAGGAAAAAAAATTTCAAAAAACTTAACTGGTTCATAATTAAAGAATAAATAAGACACACTGAAATAGTATCTAAAATATTTGGCTTAATGTATTTTTTTAATAAAAATTATTAGGAAATTGTTTTTATCTGTTATTTTTATTTATTCATTTTAAATAGTTCTAAATATAAATTAAAATGTGCTTAAAATTTCAACATACAAATTAAGGATTTTACAATGGCTGCATGTTTATAGTCATGTTAAAATAACTGAATTTCACAATTAACTGCTAAAAATTTATCATTAAAGTTTTCTTTAAATACTTGTAAACAATGCATAGTTTTACTTGAGATCTGATATTTACAAGTTATAAATATTAGAGATGCCACGAATATTCGGTATTTGGCTGAATGTTGCATACTGTTCGGCCGAATACCGAATAACAATTCATGAAAAAAAAAAAAAAAATGCACATATTACTCAAAAACGTATTTATTTTAATCAAATTATTACATTAAATACTTAAAATCTATCAGTGGTAAGTTGTGATGAATGAAAACAATTTTTCCAGCATTTGCTGATAGCAAACGATTGCGCTTTTCCTCATAAACTATACCTGCTTCTGAAAATAGCCTCTTGCTATATACACTACTGCTGGGAGACGATAGATAAATCTTAGCGAATTCTGTCAGGCTTGGATACTGTTTTGCGTTTGCTGACCATCACTTGTAAAGATCTGCCATCCGATGTAGGTGAACAGTTTTCATATAAAGTGATACAAACAGTGATATTTTTTAGTAATAAGACTATTAGTAACACAATTTGATGTAACAATGAACAAATAACGCATGTCATGACACAATCTACTCGCAAATAAAACAAATGCGCCCATGGTGTCACTACCGCACCCACCGCAGTGAGACAGGTTGTAACCTGTCACCCGCAAAATGTACACACATTTTGCTAAACATTCAGCCACCGAATATTTGGCGCTTTAGCCCAGAGCATAGCCGAATATTCGGTATTCAGTAAAATCACTATTCGTGGCATCACTAAAAAGTAAACATTTATTAAATATTTATGTTCTACATATATAAATATGAAAATATGAATAATAATTCATATGCATTGAGAAACATATATTACAATTCTATACATTTTTTTCATTAAGTTTAATTGTAATCATACCTGTAGCAATAATTAGGTGCTGACCAAACTGTTAATACAGTTTCATTGAAATGCCACTTATAACCTTCCATAACTAATTGATGAGCACGACATATCATATTAATATCATTGGCAGCATTAAACTGATTCACTACATCACTACCAAATAAGTAACCAGCTCCTCTTGGACTTACACCCCATCCTTGAGTATCTGAAGTAATAAAAACAAAATTCAAATTAAAGTTAGACCTATTTAAATATTTGCTTAAATTTGGTTTTATATTTCTAATGTTTTATCTTATTAGATAATTATATAATTAAAAACAAACAAAAATGTTTATAGTTATAATTCTATTGAAAGAATAAAATAACTATAAGTATCAGACAAATAAACCTGAGACAAAATTCAGAAGAAATGATTCTTTTCATCTTCATATTAAATACTGAAGTGCATTTAAGCTTATTTAAGTTAATATGTTTGTCCAATTAATTATTTAATATTTAATCATAGTTTAATAATTTCTGAATTTAAGACTGTCAATGTTATCATATATCAATAAAAATCTCTAAAGATAATGATCATAAGCTACCAGTAGAAGATAGTTAATATAATTTTAAAAAAACATTTATTAAATATTTATGTTCTACAATTAATTAATGTTCTTCAATTCATGTATTTATAAAAATTTCAGTTAACCACTTTGTTATCTATTTATGCAAGTACTGGAATGAAAATTTGTTGGCATATCAAAGATTTCTAAAACAAATTCAAAAACATACCTTCTGGATCTGACCATAATAAATCACACATAGGTCCATCATGTGGTACTTCCTGTTTGCGATCAATAGTTCGAATTTGATCTAATGTTTGAATAGAAGGGGACAAACCACCATGTACACAAAATATCTATTAAAAATAAATTTTACTTTAGCTATGATTTTATTCAATAAATAAAAATTCATAACAAGTTTTATTTAATATCTTATTCAATGTTTATAAGCAACAATTGTCATTTCATCCATTGTAAATTTTAGAAAAAAATTATTGCTGAGAAAGACAATAATACATGATACGATCAAAAGTTCGGGGACTGCAGTAATATATGACAACAAAAGCATGTATTTGAAGTTACAGTGTATGAAATTGATTCTATCAAACCTTTCCTACGTGTTCAGGTTGGTTTCGCTCATGTCATGTAATTAATTAAACTGCAAGCCCTGTTGTTTTCTTTTGGAGATAGTTACCTTTGTTTTGCAACGTAATAAAAATGGAGTTTCAAGAACAGTGCTGCAACATTAAATTTTGTCAGTGTTTAAATGAAACACCTACGGAGACTTTAAAATTGCTAAGAAAGGTGTACAGTGATTTTATCATGGCGAAATCAAAGGTGTACAAAGGGCATCAGCATTTTAAAGAGGGCCGAGAATCTATCGCAGACGATGAACACTCTGGCCGACCTTCGACTTCATGGAACGAGGAAAATGTTGAGTTGGTCTCTCAGTGTGTTTGCAAAGATCGTCGCCAAACCCTTGAAAAAAAATCGCTGCAGCTACTCACTTATCAAAGACTAGTTGCCAGCATATTTTAACGGAAGATCTTAACATGCACCGAGCAAAAGAAAAGTCATGATGGAGGTGTTTTTTGATTCTCAAGGAATTGTTCATTCAGAATTTATTCCCAAAGGCAGAGCAGTAAACAAGGAGCACTATCTAGATATTTTATGTCGTTTGAGGGAATCCATTCGTTGTAAATGGCCACAGATCTGGCAAAGTGGAGACTGGTACCTTCTGCATGACAACGCACCTGCACATCGGCCCCAAACGGTCACACAGTTTCTCGTCAAATTAATGTGCTTCCACATCCCGCCTATTCACCAGACTTAGTCTCGGTGATTTTTATTTGTTTCCATCAATGAAAAAGCATTTGCAGGGACACCATTTTGTGTCATCAGATGAGGTGAGAGCAGCATCGCAGGTTTCAAAAAATGGCTTCCAGCAGTGCTTCCAGAAGTTATACAAACACTGGCAAAAGTGTATTGTTGCCCAAGGTGGTTATGCATCGGCAATATAAACTGTTTAAGGTAAGGAATTTTAAGCCAAGTCCCTGAACTTTTGGATTGTACTACGTATATGGCATTTTGTTTTAGTGTATAATTGTTGAGTTTCCATTTGAAATATTATTATTAAAATTTAATAAATTTTGCATAATTTGTTTTGAAAAAGTGCTGCTTTAAACTTTTAATATATAGTATGTACATAACCACAATGATGCTATTATTCTGCTAAAAGAGCTTCACAAATAAATCAAAATTCTTTGAAAGACAAAATAATTATTTTAGAGAATTATTTCAAACTACTGTAGATGAATTCAATGTATGAGGATTTAAAAAGCAAGCATAGGAGTAAATTCTTTAATTATGAGCATAATAATAATAAAGTTTCTCATTTTAAACCTATTTGTTTTGGCAATCTTAATTTAGTCATTTGAAAATGCCTAAAAAATCAAATTTTCATCGGAGTAACAAAAGAATATTAGGAGAGATATGGTTAAGAGATTCAAATTTCCAGTTTTAAAAATACACTGACAAAAAGTTAACTATTCAAATAGAACTGTCCAATTACTGCAAAACTTGGCATACAGTTATGTCTCAGATCAGTATGTACTGTACAGTACATAGACCAATTGCTTTGTTTTCAGTAGTGCTGTAACATATACTATGGACTGGTAGCATATTGTCTTTAGACACACATCCCAGTTCTATTTGGGAATGAACAATCATCATCATATTAGTGTGTGGAGGATTACTGGTATATGCTTCAAACTCACTTTTAAGCTATGATCACACCTTGCACTTTCCAGCTATACAGGCAACTGCTATTCATGATAACTAGTAAACCTCCTCTGAAACTGCATGACTTCAACTGTAACTAGAAACATAAAGTTTTTCTACTTGAAACAATTGCTTTTCTTCTTTTCAATATCGATTTTATGCTCATGGAGGTACTGTTTGGGTGATCTTCTAGTAGATCCAATATATACAAGGTCTCTATTGAATATGTCATCTTTGAGCAGAATTTTATACACTCCTGGTGCTCTTTCAATGTCTGCTTGCTGAATATATATGGCCTACAGACATAAGCCAAATGTATTCAGCATACTAAGGAATGAGAAAGAATTAGCTATATATGCCAGTGAAAATGGCATTACACCCGAATTACAACAAGTGACCATGATCTGGCAAACTCATCATATACACCAATTTAGGAATTTGGAGGCATTAGAAATTTTTAAAGCTGAATGCCAAGCCCTTTCAATCAATTTTAAAGGTGAAAAACAACTCTTGAGAACATGGCAGGCTCTGTATGACCTGGTGTTATAACAGCCAACGCATGCTCACATCGTTAATAATGTGATATATCACATTATTATATAAATAAATTTTATGCTCGATAGTTTTAGTTGTTTAGTATATGGATTGTATTAAAAATTGTAAATACAGTGCACTGTATATATCAAAAATTTCTTTGTATTGGTAAACTATTAGTGTTATAATTATATGTTGGTGCTATGTGTTTGTGAGCTGAGGTGTCCTTGTAACCAAAATGCATCCTTACCTAAATTTGAAGGTGATTATTAAAGACTAACTTTTTTGTAAAAGATCTGCTCTTTTTTTCTGTTCACCTTGGTGTGATAAGCCCTCCAAATTGTTAAATCCTATCTATTAAGCTATCTAACTCTATCTAAATTAAAATCATGGGCTAAAAACATCATTTATTATTAGTTTCTGTTGTAAATCCCTAATCTAGATATAATTTTTTTATATAAATGAATTGACATAGATAAATTTTTTAACTGCTTAACTCTATCTAAATTTAGGCTACAATATGTGCAAGAAAATGAGACAATTCTACCCTTTAAATAAAAAAGACTAATAAAATTTTCATAAAAGTGTAAGAATACATTTTAAAATTTTAAGGTGGCAAGCAGCAAAACTATTAACCATTGTTGTATTTGAAATAATAAATCAAAAACTTTTTTCTGATACAGCTGTAACCGTTTCTAGATCTATTAACAAATAGAAGACACTAATATAATAATATATCAAAAACTATAAATTATGAAATATTTTTAAAAATATGACATATTGATGAAAATTATCAACTGATAATATTTTTTTAGCTAATAAACTTATTGGTGAAATCATTATTGGTATATTCTTATAACATAGAAATAACACCCCCATACTGGTTAATATTAATCTGAAATCCACTACTTCACAAACCAAAGAACCAGCAATAGAATAAAACTATTCATTTTGAGAAGCAAATATTTTCGTCTGTTTTTAAAAACAACATTCTCAGGCTAGTGTTCTAAAATTCGAATTGCATGTGTTTGAAACACATTATAAACTTTATGTAGTCATCGATGATTGGAGGATAGCAGTTGATACACTGATTGGTGGAATGTTTGTATGTAGCAACCTTTTACATAAAGTTTATATGTTTCAAACATGTGCAATTTGAATTTTGGAACACTAACCTGAGGATGTCATTTTTAAAAATGGATGAAAATGTTTGCTTCTCAAAGTGAGTAGTTATTTTCTATTGCTGGTTCTTTGGTTTGTGAAGTAGTGGATATTCTTATAACAATCGTGATAAAAGACAACTTACTTTTCCATCAATAACTGCTGATAAACTGAGATAATCAAAAATTTCTGTGCAATATCTCCAGACAGTAACAGAACCATATTTTCTAATACATTCATCATAAAATCCATAAACTTGAGTAATCTGACGACTTTCATGATTTCCTCGTATCAATGTTATTCGATCGGGATATCTAACCTGTAAAATTTTGATGTATATATATAACAAATTATTTGCATTTTCATATAAATTTCATTCAATGAACAAACAACTTTATAAATCTCTCTAATTCTTAATAGGTCACTTTATAATTCATGAACAATATATTAAGTAATAAAAATTAAAATATTTCAAAATAGTTTTAATAGCATTTAATAATCATTGAACTTAACCTAGAAAGAATAAATAATTTTTTTCAAATAGTATAATTACCTTTAAAGCAAGAAGCAATAAAAATGTTTCAACACTATAGAAACCTCTATCTACAAAATCACCGAGAAATAAATAATTAGTATCCGGAACTTCCCCTCCTACTTTAAAAAGTTCTTTTAAATCATAAAATTGTCCATGTATGTCACCACAAACCTAAATTAGAAAAAATTCTAAATTAACACATGTTTTAATTTTACTTCATTTGATTAAGTAAAACAGATATTGAAGGAGCAAAATGTACAATTAAAATCAAAGGAAAACTGCATATTATTAAGCAATTTAAATATAAGATACTAAGATGAAATTTTAGTATCTTATATTTAAATTTGCTTAGTAATATGTATTACTTTAACATGTAATATTAATTTAAAGTAATAAAAATTCATTTCCTATAAGAAAAAGCATCATCAATATAATGAACTTTTTAATTAAAAATTATATAAACAACTCATAATTAACTATAATAAAAAAAAAAAAGGTTATAACCAATGAACCACTTATTTTATTAACTCTTTCCGAAACTCATAACCTGATTTTAAAGCCAAACAAAATTAATTAATTATGTAATTCAATAGTAACCTGATAATTTTGGCAACATCATTTGAAACTGAAATAAAATTTACTTCCATTGTTATTAAGATACTTCTCACATAAGTACTTTAAATAATGACATTCAATATATATAATACAGGATAGGATTAATTATATTAGTAATGAAAGAAAGATGAAAAAGTAATAATGTGTCCCACATTTGAAAGATATTTTCCCAAATTGAGATTATGGAAATATATGCAAGACAATACTAAAATAATAAAACTAAAAGAATGAGAATTTTTCATTTCTATACAAAGACTTTCATAATTCTTAAATAAATATTTCAATTTTGACAAAATAAATTTCTTTTTTTTTATTTTATATAAAATAATACATGTAATAAATTCCTAAATCAAGTATAAAGAATAAAAGTAGAAATTTTAAAAAGCAAATATTTATTATTTACAATCAAATATTAGTAATCAGTAAGATTCTCCTATAAGCATGTTAGATGACAATGTACTGTACAGTACATGCAATTCAGATGAACAGGATTGTAAGTCAATATCACATTTTAGAAACAACAGTGAAGTTATGATCTCAGAATTAGAAATATTTGCAGAAACTAAAAATTAGTTTTATAAGAAAAATTTTTCAAATGATTATTGGGGAAAAACTATTTTAGCAATTGTTTGCTGTAATGTCTACATTTTTCAATATAATGAAAGAGAAACTCAATATATCTGAATCAAAACATAGTAAAATTGATAACTGATAATTCTGTTAATAAAAGATCTCTAGATACTACATTTATAATATTCTTGTACAGCTATACAGATTCAGAACTAAATACAAAAACCACACAACAACTATTGATAAATCAGCAGTTTCAATTTAATAAGCTTCAACTAATGTTTTCAGCATGTTTAATGATAAAGCTGTTTGACTGGATCAAGCACATTTTAAAAACATACTGGAAAGAAGGAACATTGGAAGAAAAGTGAAAAATTTAAATGAAGCCATTCATAATGATTGATTATATCATGTAACAAAAAACAAATAGCATAAATTTGACATAAATATTAATATAAAACAGTGACAAACAATTAAATACACATGTCTATTGCATTCACAAGGAGATTTCAAACAATGACTGGGAAACAGTGTTCTGCTCCTTATAATTAACAGACTTACTTTGTTGCAAAGATTTATAGATTTCTGCTAACTCCATGTGTTTAAGGCTTCCTTTAGATCTTAATAGTCCAATTATTTTCACCTCTTCCCACCATACATTGAATTTTCCAATGCAAAGATAGCTAATGCAGTGGAGGGTAGACCTCTGTTTATCATATATTGGTGTTCTTTAAGTCTCTTTCAAAGGTCAGGCCATTGCATTTATGTATTCACACTCTTAGTTGTACCTAAGGTCCATGACTGGGGAGACTGTATATGCTGGGTGTCCTTGTGGTTCCATAGCAATTTATACACTCTGGGATTGGATAGAAACCCAGACTTTCACAGAGTTTACTTATATAGCAAAGTTCTTCTAGTTGGTCCTTAACATTGATAATAGAGAGGTTGAGGCAGACGTTTTAAACGTGTAAACGTGTAGGACGGACGTTCGGTGCCGCTTTCCCGTAAGCCTAAAAGTTTGATGATGGTGTTTGGAATATCGAGCGTGATTCCACCGACTATCCAAACACCATTGTCAAACTTTTAGGCTTACGGGAAAGCGGCGCCGAACGTCACACGTACACGTTTACACGTTTAAAACGTCTGCCTCAACCTCTCTAATAAGCACAAATACCATCCTAACCAAAATATTAAATGCCACAAATTTAAAATGGAACAAGCTGTATATATTCTACTTTGTTTAAGTTTAAGTTCACTTTGCATTCAATGTTCCTTTTTCTCCTATTACATTTTTAAAATATATTCAATCCAGTCAAACAACCTGATGATGGCCATTGAACATGGTTGAAAATGTTAGCTGATGCTTTTTAAATTGAAACTGCTGATTTATCGAAAGTTGTGATGCTGCTTTTGTATATTCCTATTATCAAAAACACACACTTCAGCTTTATAATAGTTTTTTTTTTTAGAAATAATATAGCTACCTCAAATTTACTAAAAAATTCCAAGATTTAACCAAAATCTTATAAATAAAAATGGGGGTGCTATCTGACTGTCATGGCTGTTGGTGTGAATTTTTTTTGCTCTTTGATTTGATTCACTTTTGCTTTCTTCTGGAAAAAGAGTTTCTGTTTCAGAAAAGGAAAACGTTTTCACCACTATCTTAAGACAGATCACCATGATATGTAAGAAAATGAATTGGAAGTGAAGAAAATGTCTCAGGTGAATCAACAGAACAGTTGATCTTGTCTTACATAAGTACTGAAAAAGAGATTCACATTCAGGAAAGAATTCAACTTTTGTTGAAACTGCAAGCTTCTTCAAATAGTAAATCAGAAACACTTTTGAACCGTTTAGACAGAATGCAAGAATGAATTGAGAATATAGATACAGCATTGATAGATGTTGAATCTAGGCTATCTGTCCTTGAAACTGATAGAGAAAATGGCTATGTTACAAGTGACAAACTAAACACAGAAATTAATGTAATCTGTAATAATCTGCATGAAAAGTTAATGAACTTAGAAGATAAAGAAAGAAGGAATAATATTGTAATCTCAGGCATAAAGGACAACAATAAATCGAATGATTGTTCTTCAGTTAAGGTTCAAAAACTTTTCAACAATAAATTAAAGGTTACAGATGTCAATATTAAACATGCTTTTAGAATTGGAAAATTTAAACCTAATATACAATGATTGATTATTTGTGAACTGTTTGATTTTGAAAATAAATTAAAAGTTTATAAAAATGTTAGTAATTTAAAAGGTCTAAATATATTCATTAATGATGACTATTTGACAAATACCAGAGCTGTCAGAAACAAACTAAGACTGTATGGAAAGGAAATGTGTTTAAAAGGAGTTAAGAATGTCACACTGCAATACAACAGACTGATTATAGATGAAAAAATATCTGCTTGTAATTACAAAGGTGAAATTTTCCAGAAGATTGAGAATAATCTTTTTTAGGAACATAATTTATAATGATAAACAGCATAATAACAAAAGACAAGAATGACCAATATGATGATCTGTATTTGGATGAAGATGATAATATGAAATTTCTCTTCTACAATATTGCAGGTTTACATAAATACCGTTTCCCTAATTTCTGAAATCTGTTATACAAAATGGATATATTCTGTCTAGTGGAAACATGACAGATGCCTTTGGTAGTTGAATCAATGTTCTCTGATGATTACAAAATTTATCGTCAGATATCTAATAGCCATGATAGACCTGGAAGACCCAGTGGAGGCAAAATTGTCGAGATTAGATTAAATACAGTACCTAAGGTTAAACTGATATTTCAGACACAATTTGTACTGATTTTACAACTAGATACTGACAAGTTAACCAATATTCAGTTAATAGTGTCCTATATTCCATCTGATAATAACTATGACATTGATTTCAAGAATACTTTGTTATTTATAGAAAAGTACTTGCTATACGGAACTAAGCTGACTTTATGCATAGATTTTAATGCTAGAATGGGACACCCTGATTATGTCATTTTTTACCTGTGATAGACAAATTTCCTTGAGAGTTTTGAAGGATTCTACTGTTAATAATAGAGGAAAACTTCTGTATCATTTTTGTGAAAATAACAGTCTTGTTTGTTTAAATGGTTTACTGCCAGGAGATAAAGAAGGTGATTTCACTTACCATGCAACTAAGGGAGGCAGTGTAATTAATCTCATCATAGTGTCACAAGAAATATATTCTCACATTGTAAATGATCTATGCGTTTTATCAGAAATAGGCTCTGATCACTCACCTGTTTTTCTTTCAATGATCCCTCTGATAACATCAGGAGTTCCTAATAGACAATATGTTGGTAAACATGCAATATGAAAGAATGAATTTAAATCTTCATTTGCTGTTAAATTGGATAAAGTTTTATTAGATGAATATGGAGGAAACCTTGCATCCAATGATCTGATGGAATTTATAGCTAAGGTGGCAATCTCTCTAGATTTAATTTGTGATGTTAAATCTGTAACTTCTAAAAGGCATACAACAAATGCATGGTATGATAGCAAGTGTTACTCTATCAGAAAAAAAATCTATGGAAGTTGCTTAAGAAAGTGAAAAAATTAAATATGGATGAATGTTATGTTTCTTATAAAAATTATTTAAAAGAATATAAATTATTATGTCAAAAGAAAAAAGTGTTATTTTTGGAACTTAAATAGCAGATTGGTGACATCCAATAACTAAAATATTTTGGCAAATAATTAATAGTTTTAAATGTAAAAGTTCATTGGGTAATACAAGAATTCCTTTGGAAAAATGGTTCAATTATTATGCTACTAAATTCTCTAAAGAACATTGTTTACTTATTAATGATTAACAATTGACAACAGATGTGTATAAAGTCTTTCCAATAGAATCGGAAAGTTTTACTAATTTACACTTGAGAAGCCAAAAGGAACTATTAACTGTTTTAAATCTGGAACCTCACTTGGAATTGATTTTATTAGAAAAGAATATTTGAAGTGTTTTTCAGAAAATTTTCTTCTTACAATATTGGAAGTTTTTAACTCTATTAAAAGAAATTATACTTTCCTGGAAAAATAGATTGAATCTTTGATCATTCCAATATATAAAAAAGGGGATGTGTATGACCCAAAAAATTATCAGCCTATATCTTTGGTTCCTGCAATCGGTAAACTATTTGCATCCTTATTAAATAAAAGATTAGAAGATTGGATTATTGAATATGATATTTTGTGTCAGGAGCAAGCAGGTTTTCGACCTGGTTGATCTTGCCAGGGTCAAATATGTGTATTAAATGCATTGGTGCAATTGAAATTGTAAAAAAAAGAGAAGAAAACTTTATGCTGATTTTGTAGATTTTAGATCTGCTTTTCATACCATTAATCATAAAGTTTTATGGTCATTTCAACAAGCATTTTCAATTATATCATATTTTTAAAACAACTTATATGTGTGAAGATTATTTGTTTATGGACATAAATTATCATATAAAATGTGTAATTCTAGAGATGTGATCAAAATTATATTTTGATGTATAACAGTAAACTAATAATAGATTCTGACAGAATTTGTAGTAAATGTGGTTTGCAAACTTATGAAACTTGGGAACATGTGTTCTTTCACTGTATCAAATTTGAAACAAATAGAAAAAAGTATTTGACAAGATTTAAATCCTGGAAAGATATAATTAGTTTATCCTGTTTTTCAAAGAATGATTATTTTTGTGTATTTTATTTTGTGTTATCCTGTACTAAGCTATTTAATTAATTTGTTAAAATTTTACTAATTTCACATTTACATAATATGTTAAATTATACTAACTTCAGTTTTTATGTAATACCCCCTTGTAACAAACTACAGTTCATACAATAAAGAATTGAATTGAATTATCAATAAAAATTTTACTTAAATATTATAATTAATTATAATAATTAAAACTAAAATTTACAGTTATTGGTGAGTCTACTTGTTGAACATTGCTTTCTTCAATTAATATTTCTCTAGCTTTAGCACAGAGAGCTTTGACTTCACTTTCGTCAATCACCTCACATCTTTGTAGTTGTTCAATTTGTCTATCTAAATCACTGCAATCTCCCATTTGAAAATTCTGTAATTTCAATGTTATTTCAATTGTAAAATACTTTTTCTGTTAAATCATAAATTTTAATTTTAATTAAAAACTATTTATCTATTATTATGTTTTTCAGAAAAATCTGAGAATAAGTGAGATGTCTGGGATCAAAACATAACATGTAAAATTGCATTTTTGCTTTTTTGGGAAAAATGGTAAAAACATCTAGCTCTGTTCCATTTAATATTTCTTAACTGGACTTGTTACAGGTGTGTTGAAAAGCTACATATACAGAATCATGCAAAATTCTGAAATATGCATATCTGACAGTGCACAAAAACTAAGGCACTAGGTTGCATATGGTATATTTTGCTACTAAGTCAATGCTAATTTAAGTTATAAATATGTTCTGGCATTTAGTTTTCTATATGATAATGCAGTACAATGATGGATCGAACTGTATAATGTTAGTCTGACAACAATATTGTTTTAGATTATAAAATAATTAATATGAATGGTTATATCTGGCTTGTGTTTTGTTTTGTTATGTGTCATCTTAACAATATTTGTCTGCAATTTCTGCTTCAGTAGTATTTCCTTTGCAAACAACATAGTATTTCAAATGACAATCTTCATCCCACTTGTCTCTGTAATGCTTCTCAAATAACTTCATTACATCAGATGCCGTCTTAGCATTGAAGGCAACTCGACAGTGTGTTTCTTTGGTTGAATCTATTGCAGCATCCTTCCACAATGAAAAATATTTTCTGCAAGGTGTCAATGTTTTATGCTGGCTATCAAGAGACAAGAATATTCTTTCACTGATCCTTCGTCAAAACCATTCTTTTGCTGACAGAAATATGGAAGTGCAAATTCAAAGGGGCCTTTGCCACTTTAATCACAATGTCTTCAATCGTACAAATTACACTTATGGACCAGTCAACATACTATTCTAAATTTTGTACTGATATATACTTTGACCTCTCCAGAATTTCCTGGTGCTACTTTACCCGTTTTTCAATAACATTAAAAACTCATTCCAAAGGAAAAAAATGAATGCCCAATCCATGAAAAGTACAATGTTACCTTAGTCACTACTGCAAATGTTTCATTCACCAATCATGATGATGATTTTGATTTGCCTCCACAGCTATTGGAAACTATTTTTGTCATGCCTGTAAGGTCTGCAGACATCAATGCATCATGGATCACTGAAGCAATTTTGCTAGAACTTCTTGACCTTTTGATCTTGGTCTAAGGTTTGGTTATGGCAACGGGAAATGCAACACTTGGGCAATCTGCCTTGGGGATGCCTTCTGGGAGGTCTTTTTAAGGAAACTGGCCCCTATTTAGGCATTACAGACATGGAGAAAACCTGGAAAACTCCACATGGCCAGTCCGTCCGATCAAGGCATGAACCCCCAGTGTTCAGGGTATGAAGACCGCTTGGCCACTGGTGGGCCAATCTTGGTCTAAATGTAGCAAAATCATTTCTTTTCTTTTGCCCAACTGCTTGATAGGTACTATGCATACTACCATAAAATTGTACATATATAACTGTCTACTATAGTATGCTGACTGACCTTTGAATTTTCGCAACATCAAATTTTTCTCAAAATCAAAGACCAGCATAAGTTTATCATCATTAAATTTGTTAAGTAAAGTGTGAAATTACTTCAAATTTTTTTGTAGGCCTTTGTTTTGGATATTATGGACAATGTACACAACAGAGAAAGAAATGAGCAAGACTCTTGCACATGTTAATATACTAAAAATAAAAAATTTTTAGTTAAAAAACAAGTAAAATTATACTCTTTCTATTTCCGACTTCGAGGATTCTATGAGCCAAAACAAGACAAACAAATGGCAAAAAACAATCATCACTTTATTAAATTTATCCATATGCATTTCGCCATCTAGGCCTCCTCAGTGGATACATCAAGATGTTATTGGTTGGTTACGTTTTATACCCAACAGCCGTTCCCAGCATGCATCAACAATCATTCCAGTATTCAAATTAATCAAATTTACATGTTTGGCAATACAAAAATGTTCTACAATTTTCCTTTCTAAATTATTTTCTATTTTATACAATATTTTAGTATTTTTTATATTTATATTACAATTAAATTCTCTACAATGTAAAAACCATGCTGATTCCGTTCTTCTCAGTCTAATGGCCGCCTCATGTTCCTTTACTCTCAACTCCAATCTTCTTCCGGTTTCTCCAATGTAATAATTTGGGCTTCCACATGTACATGACATTCTATATACGACACCGGCGATCTTAAATTGGTCTCTGGGCGA